CGCGCTGGCCCAGGCGGCCTGGATCGGGAAGGGCAGGACCGAGGAGGACAGGGCCAAGGAGGGCAAGGGGCCCGTGGCCGCTCCCAACGGGAGCCCGCGTCCTGACGCTCGAGCCCCGAGCTCCGGGTCCCAGCCACCCACAACCCGAAGAGAAGCCTACTTTGTCTTTGTTAGCTATTCTTGCGTTTCACCAAAAAAAGGGGGAATTAAATTCCAAATTAAATAGAGCATTCAAGCCCCATGTTTGTTGGCAATGTACTAATTCCCGGGCAGAGAAGAATCATTTCTGTAAGGCAGATTATTCAAAACTTTAAATATTTAGGAGGAAGGGGAAAGGCGAAAATGGAGGAGAGCTGCCAGACAAACTTTTTTTTTTCTCCTTTTGCCAAGTGTTGGTATTTGGAGAAGCTATGGCATCCGAAAGTCCGAGTCAGCTTCCTTTGACCAAATTAGTTTCGAAATCTTTGCATGTCCCAGTGTGCTGACCGGCTACCGAGACTGCATTATCCAGTAGTTTGGACATCGTGGCGTCCGAAGTAGGCGCCATCATCCTATAGTGCCTGTGCAATTGCTCGGAAACTAATTCCGAGTGAGATTTAGTAAGATGACGTTTCTGGAGCGATTAACTGGAAGATTATACTAACCCTAGAGCTTCATTGCTCTAGAGTAATGCAAAGTCTTCCCTTGGTTGCTGCCACGAATTGATGAATACTTCGCAGCGCCAAACTACAAGTTAATAGAATTTTTGGAGCTGGAGTTACCACTCGTGTTCTGGGATTTATCAACCACACTGTGCTCTCTTCGAGTATATCATGGCATTTTCAGCTCTCCGCAGAAACCTAAACTTCAGATTTCACACCACTACATCAAGGGGGTCACCCGATTCAGCCTCCTGCACATCCCAGGAGTTCTTTGGATTGAGATTCAGGACTGCCATTATGTGGATAAGGGAACTGCTACGCAATTGGCTTTCCTCTAGAATATGTCCTCCTGGGTGTAAGGGGCTCATTTTAATTACGTATATGGATGTGGAATGAAGATTGATGCTGTCTCTTGATCTCTTGAGGGAAGACTCCTTAAAAGGACTGAGAGTCTGCATTTTCATCTCCATAATGTTCTCTCTCTCTCTCTCTCTCTCTCTCTCTCTCTCTGGTATTCTTTTTTTTTAGACAGTGGCTCCCTGTGTCCCCATCTGGCCTGGCCTTGAAGTCACTATGTAGATCAGGCAGGCCTGGATCCTCCTGTCCTGCCTCCTGGCTGATAGAATGTGTGAATTGCAGAAGAGACAGAAGTCTCATTAGGGAAAGCCATAAATCCCTCAAAGTGTCTAACTGGCCCTAAATTGGCAGTGTGGCCTTGCTCAAGCCTGGCTCTACCCACCCCTTATCAGTTGGTCACTCCCAAGCCTGAGAGAAAGTGTTTGTGGAGCCCACCTGTCTCCTCTAAGGCCATAGATAACATTTCTACCAGTTTCTGGAGAAATAATCTTGAGAAGGAGACCCTCAATCACTCCAAGGACACCAAGCCGGGACACTAACTCAACTCCTCAGTAAGTACAGCTGTGTCCCACAACCCTGGTATTGAAAACAAAAAACAAAAAACAAAAAAACATTTTCTTTGTCTAGCTGTAGAAGCTTGGTTCCTGTGGACAGCCTCTACCCCTCCCTGTGTCTTCTTTGTATAAAGGAAGGTCTGTTCCTTGCCTGTTGCAGGTCTGGCTCTGTTTTGTCTCCTATTTTTCTGTCTTTTATTTTCCAAAGATCTAACACTGGGTGCTGAGATTAAGACCAGGCCTTATTTTGTTTTATTTTATTTTATTTATTTTAGAGACAAGATCTCACTATACATCCAGGCTAACTCTATATCCTCTTGCCTCAAGACAGCCACGGGCAGCTCTTCACAGTCTTTGGCACCTGGGCTGCTTCCAGTTGTCCACCAGTTCACCATAGTAGTTGTCTAACTTGTATATGACCATGTTCAGGACATGCTATGCCAAATGGTGTGTGTACCAATGGCATTTTGGCATTCTGAGTATTTTAAGCTGAAGGAATTGGAGAAATGGTAGTTGTGGGAAGAACGCCCCAATATCCCCTCCCCCCACAAGTGGATCCTGAGATTTCTTGTGAAAGGTGCCATTCGCATCTGGGAGAGAGACATCCTCAGCTCTGAGACAGAATGCTCAGAGGCCTAAAGCAAACAGGCCTCGATAATTTCCCCTTATTGGCCTTTCCATTTTTTTTGTGACCTATTTTCATCAAATTTGGTTTTAAGACACATTTAACCCTTTCTTCAAGTTTTCAGTCCCTTAAGAAATCCTCATTGTCATATAAAATTAAGTCTGTTCACTGCTTTTCCTCTCTTCTGTTTTTCTTTTGTTACAGCGACTCCAGCTGGAAACTTGATAGTGCTCAGGGAATCTTAGAAAAAAATCATAAACCTGTAATTAGCAAAACTAGAGAGAAAACCAAAGTCTATTTCACTCCTGCACCTCCAACTCATTGCAAACTTGCCTGGCTTAATTTACACTTCTCATAAAGCTATGCTAACTATAATAGTCTAATTTGGCTGTGAAAGGATTGTCAGTTTTCACATAAGTAGAATTTGTGGGGCTAGAGAGATACCTCAGTTGGTAAAGTGCTTGCCTTGTAAACATAAGGACCTTAGTTGGATGGCCAGAACCCACATTAAAATAAAAAGCATGGTGGCATGTTTATATTCTCAACACCTAGCCTACTTTGGCACACTTTAGGCCAGCAAGAGAACCTGTTTTTTTTTTTTTTTTAAAAAAGAAGCTGGCGGGCATGGTGGCACATGCCTTTAATCCCAACACTTGGGAGGCAGAGGCAGGTGGATCTCTATGAGTTCAAGGCCAGCCTGGTCTACATAGGTCTAGGCCAGCTGGGGCTACAGGGAGCCCTGCCTCAAAAAGACCAAAAAGGAAAGAAAAGTGAAAGAACGGTGCCTGAGGACACCACCTAAACGTTGTCTCTGACTTCCACATGGCCATGTACCCGTGTGCATGCCCACCTACACACACACAGGCACACACACACGCACACAAACATCTTTTTTAAAAAAAAAAAGGTTCAGGATAATCTAAAGACAGTCCAGTTCTTCACTGGTAATATAACTAATATTGGTAATATTTCCTATTACACCACCAGAGTTGTGTTTGTTTTGAGACAGGGTCTCATGCATCCCAGGCTGCCTGACATTGAACATATAAGCTGTGGATGATCTTGAGCTTCTGATCCTACTGCCTCCACTTCTTTTGATCCTTCTGCCCCTGCTTCCCTAGAGCTGGGATTACAGGCATGCAGCACCATGCTCAGTTTACCTGGTGCTGGGGATTGTACCCAGGGCTATGAGCATGCTAGGCAAGTACTCCACCCACTGAGCCATGTCCATTGCCCACCATCGAGGTTTTCATTCTCTAATTTTAAAAAATATTTATTTTAAAATTTATTTACTAGCCAGGCGTGGTGGCACACGCCTTTAATCCCAACACTTGGGAGGCAGAAGCAAGTGGATCTCTGAGTTCAAGGTGAGTCTAGTCTAGTAAGTTCCAGCACAGCTGGGGCTACAGGGAGACCCTGTCTCAAAAAGACCAAAAAAAATAAAAGACAAAAAAAAATTTGTATTTATGTATTTTGTGTGTATGAGTTTTTTTGCACGCATGTAAGTGTACCTTGCGTTCAGTGCCTGCAGACATCAGAAGAGGGTGTTGGATCCCCTGGATCTAGAGTTACAGATGGGTGCTGGGAAGCAAACCTGGGTCCTTAAAAGAGCAGCCAGTGCTCTTAACCACTGAGCCATCTCTCTGGTCCCTTATTCCCTAATTTTTAAATCATGTTTTTTTACAATAGCAATAAAGGCCTGTTAAGAAAAACGTCCTTTTGGGACCTGGGGAGAGGGCTCGGCAGTTAAGAGCACTGGCTACCATTGCAGAAGACCCAAGTTCAGTTCCCAGTACCCACATGGTGGCTGATGTCTGTGGGCTTGGCATGCATGGGTGCACTTACATACATGCAAGCAAAACACTCATAAGATAAAAATAACCCCAAAATAATTGAAATCTTTTTAAATTTTATTTATTATTTTTAATTTTTTATGTGTATGAGTGTATTGCCTGCATGTGTGTGAGTGCACCCGTGTCATGCAATGCCTCCGAGGTCAGAAGAGGGCTTCAGATTCTCCTAGAACTGGAGTTAAGGACGGCTCGTAGCCGCCATGTGGGTGCTGGGATTCGAATCCAGGTCCTCTGCAAGAGCAGTCAGTGCTCTTTACCGCTGAGCCATCTCTCCAGCCCCTGAAATTTTTTTTTTAAAAGAAAGAAACAACAACAACAACAAACTTTTCCTGGTTAAGAATAGAACCTCTGGCCTGGGTGGAGACCTAACATATCAGTTCAGCCAGGTAAATCACCTGACCAAGGGGCCAGGAAGGTGGGCTAACCTTAAACCAAGCTAAAAAGATAATTCTTTTTGGCTTTTTGCTTGTTTGTTTGATTTGGTTTTTTAAAAAATTTGTTTTATTTTGTATGTATGTGTATTGCCTGCATGTATGTAAGAGCACCTGTGTTGTGCAATGCCCTCGGAGGTCAGAAGAGGGCGATGGATCCCCTAAAACCCTGGAAATGGAGTTATCAATAGTTGTTAGCTGCCATGTGGGTGCTGGGAACCTAATCTGGTTCCTCTGCAAGAGCAGCCAGTAGTCTTAACCACTGAGCCATCTATCTAGCCCCTGTTGTTTTGGGTTTTGGTTTTTTTGAGACAGGTCTCCCTGTAGTCCCGGCTGGCCTGGAACTCAATATGTAGACCAAGCTAGCCTCCATCTCTCAGAGATCTGCCTATCTCTGCCTCCCAAGTGCTGGGATTAACGGTGTGTGCCACCACACCTGACAGAATAATTAGTTCTTTAATGAACATGTATAAGTATTTTATATATCTCTAATGAATTTTTTTTTCCTGCCCAGAATCCCCACACACCTCCCCCATCCCAGTAGCTTCCCTGCCCATGGACATGCATCTTCATAAATGTGCCTACTTTTCTAAAAACTTCAGAAAAGCATAATCTTTCCTTTTCTTCCTTCTCTTTTCTGAGCATATTTTCTCTAACACTGTGGCCTTTCCTGACATTTCAGGCTCCCTTACTCAGCTTTCTCTAAAGTGCTCCTCCCTCCACATGGCCGCTAGTCCACTCCGTGGCTGGACCTGCATGCCAGCTTAAACAGCATGGCTTTTTTTCTTCTCTTCTCCATTCTCCTCTTCCAGGTGGCTGCTAGGATCTTGCCCGCCCTGGAGGCTTTTTTCTTAAACTCTAATAAAATTGTCTCCAAGCTTCCATTTGAGTCCATTCTTAAATTCTTTTATTAATGAGATTAAGAACCCTAGGAGAAGACCCCAATTTCTGCTGTATCATATGAACTTTATAAAACAACATTTCTCTTTTAGTGGCATTTTATATTAGGTATTCCTGTCCCAAATCCCATTCCCCTCCTTTATCTGATGCGTTTTACAAATGCATTTGTGGTTGGTCAAGTGTTAC